ATATATATTTAGAGTTTTAAAATTTCTAATATTTTAAATATATATGATATTTTGAGCCTAATCCCATATATTCACGGTCTCTTTACTTGCCCATCTATATTTTTTATCCGAATTTTTTATCGGACTTTTTAAAATAAAAACTTTGGTGAACCGATTTATTGATAATCCCTGCTAAGTATGCTCTAGACTCTGGAGTACACACGACGATGGTCCTGTCCAATCTCTCTCTCTCGCTAACTTCGACCATTGTTGTTTCTCTCTCCACTCCTGGCCCCAACTTGACTTTCTCTCTGTACTCCCGGCCCCATCTCTCTGGTTTCCTTTTCTCCAGACGCCAAATGAATAGTGTTTGTAAAATGGGTTAGGCCATCTCTCTCTTTCTCTCTCTAGAATTTCTCTCTCTCTCTAAAATACACCTCACAAGTGAGAATCCCTCACGTATCTTCTGCAACTCAAGAACCATGTGAGCATTTCCCATGTCGGTCACCCTATATAAGAAGGTCCTCCTCACACCCCATCTCCCCAAGAGAGAGAGTCACTTTGTTATGGAGAACAAATAAGAGAGAGAAACTGTGCAAAGAAGAAAGAGAATGGCCATGAAAACCAGGTCACCATTTTTGTATTACTCCCATGATTTCTTCTATCTGTTGTTTCCACTATTGCTGCCTGTTCTTCTCCTCTCTCTCAGCAATTGGCTTCGCAAGAGGTCGTTGCAGAACCGCTGCTATGGACCGCGAAGCTACCCCCTCGTCGGGTGCATGGTGGCTTACTGGAAGAATCAGTACCGTCTGCTCGACTGGTACACAGAGCTCCTTGCTGATTCTCCGGGAGGGACGATCGTGGTCCAGAGACTGGGAGCTCCTCGCACGGTGGTCACCGCCAACCCTGCGAATGTCGAATACATGTTGAGCACTCAATTCTCCAACTTCCCCAAGGGTAAGCCCTTCACCGAAGTGCTCGGCGACCTTCTTGGCCATGGCATCTTCAACACTGATGGCGAGCTTTGGCACACTCAGCGCAAGGTTGCCAGCCCCGAGTTCGCCACTTCGCACCTCCGCAGATTCGTACTTACTACCCTGCGCAATGAGATCGAAGGTCGGTTGTTACCGATTTTGAGGCAGGAGGCACGGAGCAGCACGGTACTGGACCTGCAGGACGTGTTCAAGAGGTTCACATTTGATTCAATCTGCCTGGTTTCATTTGGGATGTACCCCGGATGTTTGGAGGTGCCATTGCAGGAGTCGAGACTGGCCAAGGCTTTCGACATTGCAGCTGAGATTAGCGCCAGGAGGGGGGCAGCGACTCTACAAGCAATCTGGAAGATAAAGCGGGCCCTGAATTTGGGCTCCGAGCGCAAGCTCAAGGAAGCGGTCGGAGTGGTGCGTGAGGCTGTTGCAGAGATTGTTAGGGAGCAGGCGCCTAAGGGAGGAGACCACCTTCTGGCGAGGTTGTTGAGAGCGGGGCTTGGGGAGGAGCTTGCCAGGGACATGGTGGTTAGCTTCATAATGGCTGGCCGGGACACCACCTCGGCGGCACTCACATGGCTGTTCTGGCTTCTCGCCCGGCACACGCAGGCGGAGCGCGAGGTCATTCGCGAGGCGCAGGAAACAACCACACTGGATTACCAGGTAAGGTTTCTGAAACCCATTATAACAACTTCTGTTCTGGTAACCCTTATAAGAAACACTGTAACTGTGTTTGTAACAGCAATGCACCTAGGTGATCGTTGTAACAACAAAACACGAGTTCAAAATCTTGTTAATGTCACAACTGTTACTCTGTGATTGTTACATTGACAATGTTACCATTCTTGTTATCCAGGGGCTTATGGGGCTCAAATATCTTCACGCATGCCTCTGCGAGACAATGCGACTGTACCCGCCGGTGGCGTGGGACTCGAAGCATGCAGCCCGAGACGACGTGCTGCCGGACGGCACCGGGGTCACAAAGGGGTGCCGAATCACCTACTTTCCGTACGGGATGGGGAGAACGGAGGGCATTTGGGGCAAGGACTGGGCCGAGTTCCGGCCGGAGCGGTGGCTCGAGGGGCGGATAGTGTCTGCATTCGAGTTCCCGGTGTTTCAGGGGGGGCCAAGACAGTGCTTGGGGAAAGAGATGGCGTTTCTGCAAATGAAGTATGTGGCCGCCTCCGTATTGAAAGAGTTCAGGGTGGTGCTCAAGGAGGCCGACAGGGTGCCACTGTTTGTGCCATTGCTAACTGCCTGCATGGGTGGGGGCGGCTGTGAGGGTAGAGGAGAGGGAAACAAGCATGGGAGGGGTGTTATTGTATGACAATTGTAAATCTATGACTAGCTAAAGTGGCTAGTGTCTTGATTATGGTCATAGTTGTACCATTTATTTATATTTTATAATCCATGATATGTACAGGGATTAGTATATTTTTTAGAGGAAAATTCTACTCTTGTAACCTTGATTATTGTGGAAGTGATTATGGATTAACTATATTATATTTATTTGAGTTATTCTAGTCGGCAACTATGTTGGCTTTTTTGCTCCTAGTATACCTTCAATAGGAGCTCAAAATACATACCAAAGTAAAAAACTGCATAAAGAATATGAAAAAATATAATCGAGGGAAAATGCATAATTGAGGTCAGAATACATAATAATTATGGTAAAAATGCATCATGATTATCATAGTCTTTTTCCAATTATTTGGATCGGCTATGTGAATCCTAGTTCGCCATTCTATTTTGTCAAGGGCCTTACTCTCAGTGTGGCCATAAGTCCTATACTTCGTCTCACTACTTCTAACCATGTCTTTTTAGGCTTACTTCGTGTCTTTTTTTAGTCTTCTACTTGAACCACCTCGCATCTCTTAACATATATCATACATCGTATTGGCTCTGCGCTGCATATGCCCCATCCACCTAAGTCTACTTTCTTTTATTTTATTGCTTTTTGGAGTTACACTTAAGCTCTTTTGAATATATTCATTTCAAAATTCGTTCTTTCTTTCTTTGTCACTCATCCATCTCAACAGTCCTATCTCAGCTACACTCATCTTATAGGTATCTTGTTTCTTAACTGTCCAATATTTCACCCCATAGAGCAACACAGTTCTCACAGATATCCTATAGAACTTTCCATTATTTTAAAAAGCATTATCATCATCATCATCAGGGGTTTTTCTCAACCACTTGGCGTTGGCTACACGTTTGATCCACCATTCTACTCTATCAAGAATCATACCCTCAATAAGGCCGTATCTTTTTTTACTACATCCTATCATATCTTTTTAAGGTTATCCCTTGCTTTTTTTTTTTTTTAGCCTCGCACTCTTAATACGGTAAAAACTTTATCCTCTTAGAACTTCTTGAAGTACAAAAGTTAATAGTGAAATCCTGACTTCCAAACATACCTAACACTTCACTTTGTGAAGTGTAACAAAGTTTTGAAAAAAAAAACTCCTACTTCACTCAAATACTCAATGGCCCTTTGTTTCAACAGTTGAAGACACTCAGGCATGAGATGCTCTAATTATCTTCGAGATAATTAACACCTCAACTTGGAGAATCCGAGATGTAACCATGTCGGTGCCACCATAATGCATCCCACCTTTTTGTAGATTTTTTTGAACTGCATGTTCAAGAAACGTCCTTGTACTCGACATATTTCATACCCGATTTGTCTTGAAAAGACTCAACCCAGGTTAGATAAGGCTGAAATGAAAACAGGGAAAGGAATAATTAAATTTAGCTTTTAAATGGGGTGCATATATGGAAGGCATTGGGTAAGTGCGGTTGAATCGGACAAATATTTTGGTCAGTGGGGAGAGAAAAATTGCTTTTAAAAAGTGCCCAAAAACCGTAACCATCGCCTAAAGTCGTATAAACTGCAAAAGCCTCCTAACGTCAGTGATTTAAAAACGGGATTGGTGTTCGGATCGGGTATTCCAAAAACCCATCCAGATCAAAGAATCGGCGGTTCAGATTAAGAATCGACGGATTCGATCGGATTCGGTAATAAAAAAATCCAAAAATATTATTAAAAAATATTATAAATGTTGTTTTTTAGGAATCCAATAAAAAATAAGGATACTACATTATTAACTTTCATTTTTTCCATCAATATGTAAATATTAAGATGTTCTTTCCCTGTATGAATTTTTGTTAAGTTAACATTAATATAATATTGTTTCAATTATAATATAGTATTATTATATTACATCAAAACAATTTAAAAATATTAGAAAACACTTCCATATAATTTAAAATTAATTTTAACGTATATAAAAATAATTATAATGATATAAATTTAACTATAAATTTAACATAATTATTTAAGTTATTAACATAAATAAACAACATTTTCATTTAATTATGTTAATTTTTGTAAATTATTATATGAAATTTTATTTTTGTAATTAAAGATTAAATCTTAAAAATAAATAAAAATAATTAATCTTAAAAAGAATTATAGACCATTTCATTTGATAGATGTCATTTTATAAGAGAGAGATCTATTTATAGAGCATTTAATTTATACATCATTGTATATATGAGAGAGAGAGAGAGCACTATTTATAAAAAGGTTTAAGAAGTGGATGTGCACTGCAATGGATGTGCGTTGAATTATCCCACCTCGAAGCTTTAAAGGCGAATTTATTATTATAAAAAGTTTGTGGCGCGGGCACCTTAATGTGATTATGTGACTGAGACGTGTTTCACACATAATGACAACTGACAAATATAGGAAACGTGGCAACATAAGCTCTCAATTTTGAAAAACTTTCGAGAGTTACCATTGTAAATAATTAATTTGTGTACCTTTTACTTTATATAAATTTCAAAATGATCCATGTTCTAAAAAACTGACAGGGTCTCGTTTTTTCACCAGATCTGAAACGAGCAAGACGATACCCGATTTGAATCGCCCGATTCCAGATCGGATCACCGATTTTTAAAACACTAGAAGTAGTTGTCCTACCGATCTAGCTTGAACTACGCCCGCATATTAATATGCCTATGAGATACCACGTACTCTATTAGAAAATTGTTTAAATCGTGGTTTTCATAAGCACTCTAGAAAATGCTTGATTCCCATAGGGACCAACTTTGGTTTCATATTAATACAGGTGAACCCATGGAGGGTGCCCTGCAACACGACCTGCCTAGGCATCATCTAGGCATATGTATTAAATAAATATATTGCTCAACATCCCATAGTTGCAATTCATTCATCCCCATAAGGTGCCCTGCACTCGAAAGTCATGCCTAGGCATCATCTACGCTTATGTATTCAATAAGTACATTGCTCAACATCCCACAATTTTAAGATCAGAGAGGGAGAAGAAACCTATGTTTTCTAGAACTAGAAGTTGTGGCATTTTAAGATTGTAACAAATTGTTTTAAGAAAGGTAATGATTTTAAACTTTCTTTTAACTCGTTTCAAACCCAAGTAAAGAATGTGAGTTGTGTTAGGTAGGCAATCGATATAAAACTTTGTCAAAATTTATATATATATATCCTAAGATGACAACAAGCATGGCTGATTTTTGCCCTTGAGCCTTGGACTTAGGTCTCCTCATCTACTTTGTAGAATTCTTGTTGGATTATGAGGGAATAGATGGACCCCAAAACTCCCAAGATTACTAGCAGTGTCGTGGGACTGATGATCGCAGAAGTCAGAGTTTTCCATAACAATGAGAACTCAAAAGATAACTTCTCTATCTATGCCTCTCCATGGCCATGAAAGACCTGGTTACAGAGGGATGGAAGAGGCCGTTCTCCAACGTTCAGCTTTCTTTTGAAAACTCTGAGAAACGTGACTCATAATCTTGAGAGGTGGGTGGTTATCATCTACTCGTTAGATGATAACCTCTTCTCTCTCTAAAAAAAGGCCCTTATTTTAATGATAAATATAATCTTTATGATAAATATTAAAGAGAGAAAAAATTGCATGTATGAGGGCCTATAGCCACCCATACGTACCAATATCTCTCACTTAGCCATAAGGGCCAGATATATTGATATAATACTACTTAATGGGTTTAACATTTATGAGCATTTCTTTGTCATGGGACTTTTCACGTTAATACGGTTATACATCTCATAACAAAATATATCCAAAATCATGTCATGGGTTTTTCACGCTAATGCGGCTTTCCTCTCATGCCATGACATCAAAAGAAATATCCAATTTGGGAGTTCTTGACTTAAATAGTTTTAAGTGCCATTAAAGCTAAATGCTTTGATAATATTTTTGCACTCAATCCGTTTGTTAAAAGGTCTGCAATCATATTTGAAGATCACAAATAACTTACAATTATTTCATTATTTTCAATAATATCATAAATGTAATGACAATCAATTTAAATGTGCTTACCGTTGGAACTATAAGCTCCAATTCTAATTGATGAAATAGCAGCCTGATTATCATAAAAAATTTTAACAGGTCTGTTGAATATATCCAGCTCATTTATGAAACGTTTAATCTAGACGGCATAAGTTGTAGCAATGCTACAAACAATGGTTTTCATAGTATACCGAGCTATACAACCTTATTTTTTGCTAGACCAAAAAACACATCTACCTCCAAAGAGGAATATAGATCTTGAGGTTGATTTTCTATCATTTAGGTCTCCTGCAAAGTCTGCATCAGAGTACCAAGTAACATCTAAGTTGTCAGCTTAGAAGCATAACTTGTAATTTTTAGTTTTCTCCATATATCTAAGTATCCTTTTTATGGCTTGCCAATGAGCCACCCCCATATTACTCTGAAATCTATTTACAAGACCATATGCATGACTCAAATCAGGTCTTGTACACAACATGGCATAATTTATGCATCTTACAACTTGAGCATAGGAATTCCTTTTATTTCTGCTTTGTCACTATCATTTAATGAACACATTTTCTTTGACAGTTTTAAGCCTTTACAAACTGGTATATCTATGGGTTTTTCATCTGAAATCTCTTTATAATACTTTTTAGATAATTTTATTGAGATAAACATAGAAGTCTTGATCTTCTATCTCTTGTTTATCTTAATGCCCAATGCATATGAGGCTTCTCCCATATCTTTCATCTCAAAATGGGAACTTAGCCATGATTTGGTATGATTAATCATGCTAATATCATTATCGGCTATCAAAATATCATCCACATATAGTGACAATATAACAAAATTGCTCCCGCTGTTCCAGACCATTGCTTCAAACCATTTCTCTTACAATACTCTAATGAATGCACTCTTCAAAGTTTAGAAATCAATGTAATCATTCATTCTCCAAAGAAAAATGGTATCAGAAGGGGAGAGAGAGTGTTGAACCCAAAAATCCAAAAGGCATGAACAAAGCAATGATCAAATAAAAAATAAATAAATGATCAAATAAAAATAAATAAATAAATAAATAAATAATGGAACCTGATAGCTCTGA